TAATAGTATTCATCCTCTTCTTTCAGTTTTGGCTTCTTTATTATACTCAATAGTAAATCATCACCTTCTTCTTCTTCTTCTTCTTCTTCTTCTTCTTCTTCTTCTTCTTCTTTCCTCTACATACAAGGCTTCAGAAGGTTCCCCTTCTACTAAAAACATTTAGGGTCACCTCTTTCCACTTCTTCTTGCTTGAATATTGGACCAAGAGCTCTCCTAGGATGCCTCGATGGTTCTTGCTTTGATGCCTCTTGCCTTGGTGGTTCCTTCCTCAATGGCCCTTGCCTATGGTCCACTGATCCTAACTATTCAATATGTGTTATGGGATCGGTTCGAGAACGGGATGTAGTGGCCTCTTTGGTATATTACATGACCTTTAGAGCTTGTTCCCTCAGCTCATTGATCTGTTACATCACAAACTCCTTGGTGCAAGCCATCATTCTCTTTGGTCTCTCTTTTTGCGATAAATTTTTTTCTTATATAGTTTGAGTATGAACTCCACACTCACTACCCCTTTTAAGATGTTGAAACCTTTTTAAGACATAGAGTCTCTTATCGCTCGTGAGTACATACAAATTAGTAAATACCGTGTTTAAATAGAATAGATATTATGCTTGAGAGAATGTCTCAGGGATTGTGTATTAAACGTGAACCTCCAGAAAGCCAAAAAAATGTCTCAAAGGAGGTTTCCAAGATTATAGTGTTTGAGAGAGTGAGAGAGAAAGAGAGAGAGATAGACTCTAAAAAAGATCCAAGATCCTCCTTCCCTCTTCTTAACTTTTCTTTTATACAAAAATGAGAAAATAATAAAAAAATATATATAGTATAATACGATACTCATCCATTGTCTTGTGAAAAGGCAGTGTTGTCGACGTCAGGTGGAACTTTTAAAGAATGATAAACTTGCATCCTTGCTAGTAATGATTACCATCTATAATAGTTGTCCCTCTCTGGGTTGTTTGAATCAACTTCATGGAAGAGATGAGATTCATCCACTTAGAAAAGTAGGCTCAGTTTTGCCACTTCGGCGGGTGGGTTCAGTTTAGCGTATTAACTTTCGTATTACAATACACATAGAAAGTTTGTATTTAGGAATATAGTCATTTTTGTATTTATGCAGGGCACGTCTGATAATGATAGAAGAAGAAAGCGAATATGAACTTTCTTTTGAAGGAAATCCATTTGCACAAGGAGTATAACAAGTATGAAATTGGCAAATGAAGGATAAAATCGCGTGAAACTACCCATGTTGAGGAATTAAGAGGTCGACCGCTCAGGAAGGAGAGCCAGTGTGAACGATAAGGAGTGCATCATATTTATTTTTTGCTCATTTTGGGCGAGGAAATAGTGCAGCCGAAAAGACCTATATGGTATTTGAAAACTACACTAAAATTAAACTTTATTTTTTTTTTCATTTAATTTCATTTCATTTCAATCAAACACATGAAAATTAAAACATGTGCACTTATATTACTTTACATCATTATTACTTCAAACCAAACAACCTATTCTCATAAAATATTTATCATATCATCTAACATTTTTTTTTGAAAAAGATGAGGGTTGTGCCCAGCTTTATTTTAAAAAAAGTAATAATACCACTTAAAGAGAAAATATCAATTCACACCAAAACAACAATAAAAAACTAATAACCAACAAAAACTAGCCAAAAATCATTAAAAAAAAGGAGATGAAAAAGTTGAAAAGGAACAACAGATCGTAAAAGAAAAGCCCAACACAGACAACTAGTCCAATTACTAACATCAACTGAGCCACAACTAAAACAAAATGTATGAGAGACATCACTCGAAAGCCATTCCTGAGAGAAGAAAAAGTCTTCACATCCAATTGAAACCATAGAGAGAATATTTCTAAGAAGGCAAGAGAGCACTTAATATGCAAAAGCTAACCTAAACACAAAGAAGAACAACAGTAGATTGCACAAATGAATATAACTAACTAATCATTAAGGAATTGATGACATGAAACATCAATAGAAATAAGAAAAATCGAACTAGTGCAACAACAAAAACAGTAAAGAAGCACAAGAACATCAAACAAGACAACAAAGAAAAGACAAGCAAACACAACTAAGAACACAAAACAACCAAAGGAAGCTCCTAAAAAATCATGAAAAACAGCTCAAAACGTACCTGAAAATGAACCTTAAAATTTCTTCCAGGCATAATGAATATATAAAACTTAAAAAATTTTAAATATTAAAAACACGATTGAATTTAATATGTAATTGAAATTCATCAAGGCTCAAAACAATCTCAACAAAATGAAAAGATCAAGAATAAAAGAACTTGTCATAAGAAGCAAAAAATAAAACAAAAAAGAAGCAAAACTAAAAATAAACCTAAGAAAGGAAGAACAAAACAATCAACAAACAAAGATCAAAAGTAATGAAATCTAAAATACCAAGAATAAAACATGTAAACCTAATATTAACAAAAAAGCTAAAACAATATCAAAGAGAAGGAGAGAAGGCAAACTAAAAAGTAACAATGCAAAATATATATCAAGGAAGATAAAAGTCAGCAACACAAGTCGAAACCAAAGAAAGATACATCCTGTGAAAGAAAAGAGCACTAAAAAGTATTGCAGCCACTGGAAACAGAAAAAAACAATAGAGTGAGCCACAAAGGAACCGAGTTTAGGGCTGTCAAAAAAGCTCGTTGTTCACGAACAACTCGTGTTCGGCTTGTTAAGTAGCTAATGTTTGATTCATTCGTTAAACAAACAGTCCGAACACAAACAATTATTTTGAGCTCTATTTTTAAACGAGCCGAACAAAATGAAAAGTTTGTTCATTTGTGTTCAACTCATTTTGGTTGGATATAATAAAAAAAATTAAATTTGTTAATATTATTTTAATATATATATTATAAGATTTAGGTGGCATTAGATATGTAAATGCATAGGCATTGATTGGTTGGCCCATGTTTAAATTTGTCTAGACATTAGAAATGCAAATAACCCCCCAAATGGAAAAATATCACGTGGGAGTGGGATAGTCGAACATCCCAAAGCTTGTGCGAAAATTTCGGCTTGCGAGCTGAGCCTTATTTAATTCGAGCTAAAATCGAGAAAACAAATGAACAAATTCGACTTGGGAACAAACTAAATAATATCAAGCCGAATTTGAACAGACTCGTTGCGAGTTTAATTCGAAAACGAACCGATTTTGAATATGTGTTAATACAAACAAGCCGAACACGAACATAACCTCAGCTTGCTCGTGTTTCGCTCGTTTACACCTTTAATCGAGGCCACAAAACAACATTACAAAGAAGATTAAGAACCAAGACAGCAGCACTGAGTGATAACAAACCAAACAATTAAGGAAACAAAAATGAAGCACAACCAACAATAATAAAAAAGGAAGCTCCTTGAAACCAAAAAGAAAGCTCCTTGAAACCAAAAAGAAAGCTTAGGTCTTACTTGCATATATAGATGAAAATTCCATCCAAGGATAAAGAATATTTAAAATCAATAATTATAAATAGTTAATTACAAGTTGAATTTTAAAAAGGCAGGAAGAAAAACAAATAAAGAGACAAAGTAACACAAAATATCAAACCAAACAAATAAAAGACAAGTAAGCACACCAAGAATAAAATAAAATAAAAAGCTTCTAAAAATCATGAAAAAGAGCTCAAAACTTATGTGAGAATGAACATACTTATGTGAGACTGAACATTAAAATTTCAATAAGGCTAATGAATATATAAAATTGAAAAACTTTAAATATTGAAAATATGGTTGAATTTTAATATATGGTTGAAATTCATCAAAGCTTAAATCAATCTTAGCTAAATCAAAAAATCGAGAATAAAAGAACTTATCAGGAAAAGAAAAAATAAAACAACATTAAAAAAAAAAAACAAGAAGAAAAATTAAAAACAAACCTAAGAAATGAAAAGAAAACAATCACCAAACAAAGATAAACAATAATGAAATCCATAAAACCAAAAATAAACCTTATAAAAACCTAATATTAACAAACAAGCTAAAACAAAATCAGGAGAAGGGGATAAATCAAACTGAAAAAGTAACAATGCAAAACATATAACAATAAAGATAAAACTCAGCACCACTAGCCGAATCCAAAGAAAGAAACACCCCAAGCACCATAAGGTAATGTACCTGCTAGAAACATAAACAAACAACAGACTAAACCACAAAGGAGCGGAGGTTACAAACCAACATCACAATGAAGCATAAGAAAATAGATAAAACAATACTAAGAAACAACAAACCAGATAATGAAAGAAACTTGAAGGACAACCAACAACAATAAAAAAGAGTCTCCTTAAAACTAGAAAGGAAGATTAGAACATACCTGTACATATAGTTGAAGTTTTTCCAAAGATAAAGAATGCTGAAAATTAATAATTATAAATATTCAACAACGAGTTGAATTTTTTAGAAAGCGATATTCTTCCAATAAATTGAAAAAAACAATAAAAAAAATTATGACCATAAAATGAAAAAAATAATCCAACCATCATAAAAATGAGAAACAAAACAAAAAAAAATCTAAGAGAAAAAACCACCAAACATATATCAATAATCATAAAAATCAATAAAATAATTAGGAATATTTAATTTTTTTTTTTTTTACTTGTATAAAAAATCATCAAATGAATATAACGAATTATCAAATCCAAAAAACTATTCTTATTTTTAAAAATTATAGAATTTCTCTCAAATTAATTAGAATAGTCCATAATTTGAAAAACAAGAAGATGAAATATTTTTTGAACGTGAAATATTATTATAATAATGAAAAAATTGAAATATATTAGTGGGTGCAATAAAAAAAATCATTTGGAACATATTTTTTAAAAAGAAAAAGAGAAATTAAAAATATTCAAAAAAAGAGATGATCAAGAAATGTAATTATTTTTTATATTAATAACTTTTAAGAAAAGAATATCATAATTTCTAAAACATTTATGAATTTTATTCCGAACAAACGTCCCTACCGAATACCTAAACGGAACATTTCGGCCGGAACTCACTCCTATTTCTATGAGTTTATTACTTATTTTACACACTGTATGCCTCATTTGACACGTGACTCATGCCCGCGATGCGTCGTCCTCTCTATAAAATCGGGGCACCCTTAACCGGGAATGAAAACTCCGCTTAAATCCCCGGCATTCGATCTACCTCTTCATCCTCCTTCGTCGCAGCCGTAGACAGCGGCACCGGCGTCAATGGCGGTGAAGTCGTCACTTTCTTCAGCTCCGCTGTTCCGCTTCCGCCGACCCGTATCGTATTTTTCCCTTTTCTCCCGAAACTCGTTGAAGCTCAGTTGGAAAAGAAGCTCGCCGAGTTACGTGGGCGTTCGAGCTGCTGTTGGAATCCCTGGTTCCGATGGACCCGTCTTGAAGGCATCTACAGATGCGGCATCTGCGATCGATTTCCTGACGCTTTGTCATCGTTTGAAGGTACAGGGTGCTGGATTGTCCAGGCAAATCTGGGTTTCCAATTATCTGTTTTAGGCCTGTAGGCATTTTATCTATTGTTCTCTGTTTGTAGAATTAGCTTAATGACGGTTGATTTTGCATGCTTATCTGTACTTTTAAAATGATAGAGTTATTTGTTTTGCACCTGTCTTTATTTCAATCGCACAAGCTGCTTTAATATTGATCCTTATTGAATGATCAATGAGTAAAGGGCGCTTTTTAGTAGCCTGATTCATGTGGGTGGAGGCATAAATTGGAAATTTGGAAAGCTTATTTTGTTATTGAGGAGCCAAGAAGAAATAATTGGGCATAACATCTTTGATTTTATATCATAAGGACATCCGATGGAATTGTTAGGAACTGGAATCGTTTTTAATTGTGAAGCAATTTGTCGTTATGGGATATTCTAATTATTTTTCTACCTAGGTTTGCGCAGTTGTTATTAAATTTTATTCAATGATCCAGCAAAAGGTCCTTCTGCTTCTTGAACGAGAATGCTGGTGTTGAATTCAAAATTGACCAGTGATATGCACACCCACGGAATAGAGCGTAGGACGGGAGAGATAAGGAGAGAGAGAGAACATTAGAATGCGAAAGAGAGTACATTAGCCATTAGTCATTTAATATAGAAATGACCCCCTATTTATACACAACAAGAGTATAAAGTGTGCAATTACCTTCTTGCTCCTGTTTGAAGGACACCGTAGGGTATTTTGGTCATAAATAAATACATGAATAAATACATAAATAGATAAATAAATGAAAAGTCTCTGGCTCGGCTGCCCCATCATTTGTTCGCCTAAAGTCGGTGGACCATAAGTCAACCAGTTCATATGGTTGATTTTGATGAGTCAGGCAGACGACTGACCCTCATATGTTGGTTAGTTAGTCGACCCCACGAAGGACAGTCCGCCAGCTTGGTTAAGGGCAATCAGTTGATTGAGCTCGGGACAGTCAGTTGACTTAACTCAAAGTAGTCGGGCGACTTATCTAAGGACAGTCGGTCGACTTATGAGGGTCCTTGGGTCCCCGGACTTTGTTCGGTTGGCTCCTTTGGTCTGATTGTTAGCTGTTAACCCCCCTTAAATGAGATTTCCATTGCCAAGATGAGGCTAGGCTGTCGATTAGAGGGCACATTACCGTAATCCAATAGGTAGCCAACTCCTTTAACAGGAGAACCACTAGGGATTTATGTGGGTGTGATACTGGACAACTGAATAGTCTTGGCGAGTTTTGAGGGTTTCTCTAAGGTGAAAGCTATGAAAGCTCTCATGTTGAGAATTACGTTCTATGTTCTGGATGAACTTTAAAGTAATCATTGTTGTGTTAAAAAAATTACATGTGGTACAATATGGAGGAAATACTATCAATTACAACCTTCTTTCAATCACCACAGGAAGATTAATCAATCCAAATATCATTATCCGGAGATCTAGCAACATCCAATTCAACTAGAGCATTTGTACGGATGGCCTAGAGAGGTGAGCAGTAGTATGGTTTGACAAAGATAGGGCCCAAAGAATAAAGTGTAGCTGATTAAATTAGTGGTTGAAATAGTAGAGTAAAATCCCAATCAAAGTGATATGAGGTTCCATGGATGAGTTAGAATTAGGATTCCATTTTCACATTTGTATCAGGAAGGCATTCACATAATAGAAACGCTGTGAAAGTAAGCAAGAGTAATCTGCTTTAACAAGTATTTTGATAAACATATATCGAGGATCAAGGAGCTTAACTAAATATTTTTCAACCAAATGAAAATGTGACATGAATGAATGCACACTCTCAAGCCCGGTAAATCTCATTGAGAAATTGCCTGTTATAGAAAAGAAAAAGGGGCCGGCTAATTCAAATATCTCTGAATCAACAAATATCAGAGTTGTTTTACACTGAAATGTGGAGAGTTATTTGATATGAGAAAGATTTTTCCTTGATAAGAAACTTGTGGAAACTGGGTGGTTGAAGCTCACTGAGAACACAAAGCCATAAATCCCCTAACAATATTTGAGAAGGGTTGAGCAATGCTGATAGCTAGAGAAAATGAAGGCAAACAAATCACATGAAATGCCTGGAGGGAGATTACTACAACTTGAACTAATGATGTCAAAATAGAAGGGTGGTGGAGATGGTGACAAGAGGAAAAGTGATTATTCATGTTATGGAAAGTAGGGAACCGTGATCTCATATGATAATGGATGAACAGAATTTTCTAGGCAGTGACACATGGTGGAGATGGTGACAAGAGGGAAAATGATTATTCATGTCATGGAAAGTAGGGAACCGTGATCTCATATAATAATGGATGAACAGAATTTTCTAGGCAGTGACACAAATCGAAATGATAAGGAAGCCTTTGATGGTGCCAAGAATGGAGACTGCATAGGAGCAAGAACTACCCTAAGTTGCTTGCTCATTTTGTAATGCTAGAATCATTAATCGAAGACAATAGGTTTTAGCTATTTTTCTTGCACTCCAACATCTGCCAAAAAAAAGCATAGTTGTTCATCTAGCCACACTATGAATGTTAGTATGGCAACAAACCTCAAAATTTATACCATAATGGACTTTAAGGAAGCATAATAATTAAACAATTGATTTTATGGTTTAACTGCACCCAACTCTAATGAAATTTTATGCCGGATAATATAGAGAACAATTTTGATTGTTTACCTTTCCAAAAAAAGAAAAGAAAATATGAACGTATATTTTATTCTTTGCATTAGCCATATCCATTTGTTGTTACGATTGACCCATGACCAAATATTTTTTGAAAGTTGATCACTATGGTTTTCTTATATTATAGATTATTACCATTTCTATTGTTCTTATGGTGCTATCATGTGGAATAATCAGGCTGGGAATTGACTTTTTTCACATAATAGTGCAGCGGATGTCTTGTATGTGTCTATTTGTGTACTTTAGCGACCCACCTGCTTCAGGAGATCTTGTAATTTGTTCCCCATGATCCCTTTTTAACTGATATGGCGGTAAAGGCAAAAATAAACTTGTTTGGCATTTTTTTTTTTTTTAGGCTGCCATGGTGACTATCATGATTTGGAATTAGATTTTGTTAAAGGCTGGCGTGGTGACTATCATGATTTGGAATTAGATTTTGTTAATGCTGTCATTTGTTGAACCTTATTGATGCCAAAATTGAATGGGCTATGTCTAATTCTATGTAATCTCATTGAGGTTTATAAAATTGAAGGGCATTTTTCCCTTGAACTGATTAAGGAATAGAAATAATTAGGGTTGTACTGTGTTAACGGTTGTAGTTCAAATTCTTGTGATTTACATAACCAAAAAAGCTTACAACGAATCGAGAAAAGACATCCCAGTATAATTTCGGTCAAGTTTTATGGAAGTACAATGAAAAAAGATGTCACTTTGAAGTTTGCTAGATTTGGCTAAAAGTATACTGAGCTTAAAAATATGAGTTTTTATTTTAAATTTAGAATTACATATGGTATCAAGGTTAATTAAAGAAAATATAATAAAAAATTTCATGCATTATCTGGATCTGACCACACCTATTTGCTTTTCTAGTCGTAATATAAGTTCAAAATGTTTTATCTTTATCAGGTTGGGTTGATTATACATTGTTAACTAAAACTTAACATGGACAACTGTATCTTTGTCATTATTGTCATTTTGCTACCTCAGACCGCATATTTTTTTTAATTGATGCCTTGTATGCTTACCTGTTCAGTCTTTTATATCTATGCATGACATGTAACTTTAGGAAGGAGAGACCAACATCATCGTTAGCCTCACGGCAACCATTTGGGCTATGTGGATCTTCATTCTCTATTTATTTCTATTTTGTGCATGAGTTCTTACTTCTCTTTTTTTACATGTTTTTTTCACAACCCTAGGAAGAGGTAGGTAATGTGATTATTCTCATAAAAGGCATGTGCTGCAAAAATCATTTACTCATTTTAATTCACATCTTATAAACTCGTTTTATACTGTAATACTCATTCTGGGATTCTTCATATTTTGTTGATCAGAATCTGATTTCAAATATTCTGATGGTAAAATGCCTACATTCTTGCGCTCTTTATTTTCAGACAACTAAACGAAAGGGTTGGGTTAATCATGGAATTAAGGGGGCCGAGTCAATTGCAGATCACATGTACCGCATGGCATTGATGGCATTGATTTCCGGGGACCTACCAGGTGTAAATAGGGAAAGGTTGATTTTATTCCAAAATTGGCAACTTCATTTCCTGTCTCTTACTATGCTTTTTGTTAAAAAAGTTAAGTTATTTTATGTGCATGCCTTTTCATTTCAACTTGAAGGGTACATTCACTCTGCTTTATTGCAGAAGAATTTCTTTTGTTTGGTTTGGTTTTATTCAAGCACTTTTATGGGTAATTGTTTTTTTCTGGTCACCAGTACTTCATATTTTTTTTTTTTTTTTTTGTCATTTTCATCATTAAAACAGGTGTATCAAGATTGCTATTGTGCACGATATTGCAGAAGGTATTTAGCCTCAACAATCTTGTCTTCCCTTTAGCTTTTTAGACCTTACACAAATTGTCTTCAATATTTTTGGTTATGCTGACCCACTCTGATATGGTTTGCGGTGTTCATCTTATTTGTAATGGCATATGAGTTGGTTACATCTTTAACCTTGAAGTGAATCGGTAGGAGAGTTTCATCATTCTAGATAAACGCTTTTGTCCATAGTACACTAATATTGGACTGAGAAATTAAAAAAAGGCGAAAAAGGTTTTTGATTGTATAGATAATTTTTCTCATTTGCAGAATATTTTACTCAAGTGGTGTTTAGTTAAAAGGAATGTTGTGATACGATCTGATGCAAAAATTTGCATGAATTTCCACATAATTTAGGGCAAAGCAAATATAATCCAATCAACTCAATCCGAATACAAATATAAACATATAAAATTCGAGGCTGACGATCTCTTCCAATTCCTACAATTTAATAGTAAATCCCTCCCAAACCTTAAACCTAGGACTCACAACAATAATCTCTCAATCTAACTCTAAACATTGGCATATTTATATCTAACAAGAATAATAACAAATGTCTAAATTGCCCTTAGGCTTACAAACGACCAAATTGCCTTTAGGCTAGGCAGCACATTTACCCTAGGTGGAAAAAAGTTATTGTTCCTCCACCACCACCACCACAACTGTCTCTATTTATTCATCATCTGCCTCCTCGTACACTAAGAAATTGTAATTTTCAATCTTTGCAACGATGTTCTGGGATAAACTTCTTATCACACCGAAATCATTTACCCTTGGCTCGCTTTTTCTGAATCTATGTCTCTGTAAGGTGCTTGAATGCGGCCCCCATCTAGATTTCTACTGTTTGAGCTTCACGTATCATCGTGTTTATAACAAATCGGTGTGACGCTCCATCTGTGTTGCTTCTGTTGGCTTTCTCCATCTGGTTCTTGTCCCCCACCATGTCGGCTAGCACCATCATCTCCCTCAATTCCCACGGTTTCAGTAGTTGTAGTGTTAATCGTAGGTTGTGTTTTAGGCCCTTCATGAAATTTCCCTCCAATCCTGCTTCATAAATCCCCCTCAGTCGTTTCGACAAAAGCTCAAATGTCTTCCTATATTCCATAACAATCCCGTCCTGAGTCAAGGTATAGAATTTCTCGTGTAGGTCACCTTCCCTAATGGCTCGGAAACATTTAAACAAACAATCTATAAATTCCTCTCACAAACGGAGCAGGTTTCTAGTCTACTTCCACTGAAATCAAGCTAAGACTTTCCCCTTCAAACATAGCCCTGCCGCAATGTGTTTCTCCTCTCCATCTAGCCCATTCACCGTGGAGTATCGCTCCACCCAATACTGACGTCGACGGTGAATCAGCGCCTGAGTGCGGTGCTTCGTTCCCGCAGGGCAGAAAACTCGCAAATCTTCGCAAAAATAGTGGAACGAGCGGGATCACGAACCAACACGAGGGCTGGGGAGTGATCGCGAAACCTACGTGTTGTAGGAAGATGCCAATTGTGGAATTTTTTGTTTTTCTAGATTCTTCTTACTTCCAATTCTTTTGTGTAGAAGTTTTCTTTGTCCCGCGGGAGTCCGTAAATTGTTGTCCTCTGTGTTTAAGGAGTCACTTCTAATAAAGTGGTCTTTTGATCCTCTGTGTGGAGTCTCTTTCCTCTCGTTAGGATTGTATCCGATGACAAGTGGTGCTTCGGTTGTACTCTGCTCCGAGGTGGTATTGTAAGCTCTCAATCTCCTTTGCTTCTTCTCCCCGACACCTTTTCCTACCTTTCGCCCTAGCTATCAACTATCCCCATATTCCTCCAACACACTACCGCCACCCCTTCTTCCTCCACGACCTCGCCGCCCAACCTACATACATCCAACCAAACACAATCCTTGCCTACTCTAGCAACCACTCACCTATCAACGTTGCCACCGCCTTCAAATCTCTTCCTACATCCTTAACCGGGGATTCGTTTATTGTTGTATTTTGTTTCTATTTGAGTCGTGTTATAACTTTATGTATATATTAATAAAAGTTTGCTTTTTTTGAGTTCAATTGTTCTTCCTTCTAGTTTCGGTATCATTTAGTGTCAGAGCTAGTCAAATCCTGGTCCCATCCTAGGCTTCCTAGCATCTGCTTCTGCCCAAGCCACTTCCACCGACATTTTTGTTTCTATTTCCAACCCTAGCCATGCCACCACGAAAAGGTTCACCGGACTTAACTTAGAAAGAGATTCAACAAGAATCTGTTTTCTACAACGGAGATTTGCAGAGCTGGATGACAAGAACCAAAAAGATGTTACTTTCGACCGTGATCAAGAGAGTTAAAGAAAAGACAGAGACGACAAGATGAATCCATTCCACAAGGAAAATCGTAGTGACGAGGAATATCGACTACGTAATTTTGATATCCAATATCAATGGAGGCCGAGAGAAGAGGTCCCTTATGGAGGTCAGCGGGATTTTTGGCATCAAGATTGACCTCCCAGAATTTGAGGGAGGTGTGGATATCGATGACACATGCTGCAATCAGTTGAATTGTTTTTTGAATATAAGGATGTATCAAAGGATAAACGAGTCAAGCTAGCTACAATTAAACTAAAGAAAAATGCCTCTTTATGGTGGGGCAATTTACAAAAGCAAAGGAAAAGAGAAGACAGTGAGAAGATAACTAAGTGGAAGAAAATTAAGAAGACAATGCAAAAAAATAACTTCCCACCCCAATATCGCCAGGATTTTTTTTTGATACTTCACGACTTGCAGCAGAGAGATATTTCAGTTGAGGAGTTCACGACCTAGTTCGACCACTTGCAGTTAAAGTACGTACTGACAGAGCCAGAGGAGTTCACCATCGCCTAATATCTCGGGGGTCTAGAGCTCACTATTAGCAATGTGGTACAACTACAACTATATTGGACATTGGTGGATATCCAGACACTAGCCCCGAAGGTGGAAAGGCAACAATCGTCCTTCAGCGACCACCTTCAGCCAAACAGGCAACAATCGTCCTTCAAACCACCATCTTAAGTCAAGCAGTCACTTGTAACTTCTACAGAAGACAGGGCGCCTTGGTAGGAAATAACATAATTGGACAAGGAATTGATATGGCAGATCAAAGCAGGAAAAAGCTAGAGAAATGTGGTTCCTCCAACACAGTGCCAGCCAGGAAGTGTTTCAGATGCCATGGCTACGGTCACATAGTTTCCAGCTGCCCAACAATCCGAGTCGTCACCCTCACAGATCAAGGTGTCGTTGAGGAAGTTGATGAGGAATCAAAGAAGAGTTCAGAATAAGTGCTTCAGCTCCATGGAAACGAAAGGAAATCGTTAGTTGTTTGGCGAATACTATAGTCCGAGCCTGAGTGCAACCAATCCTGGCTATGGTATGATATTTTTCGCAACAAGTGCACCGTCAAGGGGAAGGTCTGTAGCCTGATCATCGATAGTGGGCGCTACGAGAACGTGAAACATCCCGTCATATTCTCTTACGTGGCTGAAGAAAGGAAATAAGATACGTGTGGATCAACAGTGTCTAGTTGATTTCTTAATTGAAAACCAGCTACATGAGCAGTTATGGTGCGACGTGGTTCCTATGAATGCTTGTCATATTCTGTTTGGAATGCCTTGGCAGTTTGAACAAAAGACTCAACACGACGGGTTCAGAAACACTTATTCTTTCAAGGATGGGAAACATATCGTTTTACTACATGCTAAGGATGCAAAAGACGGGAGCAATACAGAGGCAGCATTAGTTTCTAGTACCACTTTCCTGCAGTCAGTTAAAATGCTCTGGAATACCAGCATTAGTTCTTCTGGAAGGAAGCAATGAAAGAGAGGTATCAGCACTACTGCAATCATTGCTACACGACTTTTAGGTTGTTTTAACCGACAACTTACCAGAGGGATTACCACCACTAAGGGAGATCCAACACGCCATAAACCTGATATCAGGATCTGTATTGCCAAACCGACCAGCCTATAGATTAAGACATGTGGAGTATGAAGAACTACAGTGACAAGTGCAGGATCTCGTTGCAAGAGGGTTAGTCAAAGAAAGCATCAGCCCGTGTGTAGTTCCTGCCCTGATGACACTCAAAAAGGATAAATCGTGGCAAATGTGCATCGACAGCCTAGCCATCAGCAAGATTACCATCAAGTATCGCTTTCCCATACCCCACTTGGATGATCTCTTAGACTATCTACATGGAGCCACTATCTTCTCCAACATCGACTTGCGCAGTGGATATCAATAGATACATATGAGGTCAGGAGACGACTGGAAGATCGTCTTCAAGGCACGGGACAGACTTTATGAGTGGACCGTTATGCCTTTCGATCTGTCAAACACACCTAGCACTTTCATGAGATTAATAAAACAGGTTTTCTAATCTCGCATTGGAGTGTTTGTTGTTGTCTATTTTGATGACTTTCTAGTATACAACCAGTCAAAGGAGGATCATCTGCTTCACCTGAAGACAATATTCGAGGTATTGCGGGCTAAGCGACTGTATTCCCATTCGAAGAAATGTCACTTCATGACAAGCCTAGTATGTTTTTTGGATTCTATCGTATCTAGTGCAGACATTCAAATGGATCATGTAAAGATGGATGTCATTATCAGCTGGGTCGTACCACAATCATTCACCGAGCTGAGGCAATTTTTTGGGCTGACATTCTTCTATCGAAGATTCATCAGAAACTTCAGCACTATCACCTGCCCTCTGACTGAACTTCCATTATCAGCTGGGTCGTACCACAATCATTCACCGAGCTGAGGCAATTTTTTGGGCTGACATTCTTCTATCGAAGATTCATCAGAAACTTCAGCACTATCACCTCCCCTCCGACCGAACTTCTAAATAAGGAGTTTGCTTGGACAGCATCAACTCAGGGCATTTTTGACACCCTAAAGGAAAAGGCAACTCAAGGGCCCGTACTAGCATTACCAGACTTCAACCAACTGTTCGAGGTAGAATGCGATGCCTCCGACATAGGGATCGAAG